TTATTTATCAATTTAAATTAGAAATAGAGTATCAAATAGTTTTCAATTTTTTTAAAATTTTGCAAACTTGATATATCATTAAGAACTTTTAATGTAATAATTTTATTATTAAATTTGATGTAAAACATAAGTTATTGAGTGGAGTAAGTGTAGGTAGACTTACTTTTAGAGTAACTAAATCTCTCCTCTATATATAACGAGAGAGAAGGGGGGAGCGAAGGGGAGTGGAGGGAGGGTAAAGATTAACTAACTCAAAAAAATTATTATAAATAAAGTTATTTCACTCAATAACTTATGATATATATCAAATTTTAACAATTCAATTTTTAAATTAAAATTTCCTATTAATTAATATATTGGATTAGTCTCGAAGTTAGGGGCTGAGAACATGTGACACTATTAAAGGAAATAATTAAATACTCTTTATTACTCTCCTATAAAAGGTAACATATTTCTCTACTATAAATATTCCTACTCTCCTCTGTCAAGGGGAATCCCTTTGGGAAAAAGAGTATAACTATTCTAGTCTAATCATATTCTTACATGAGTGTCAGAGTATCTTTTGCAAGTACCACCACACTTTTTTCAGATCGAGGACTTACCAAAAGCTTTACCTAAAACACCTTGGTGTCGGTGTATCTTCCTCCTCGTTGGAGTATTGGGTGCCAAACGCCTTAGTCAGGTGTCTACCATCGACATGTCCTCCTAGGCTACCCTTTGAGCCTTTAAGTGACATATGTTGTGGAGAAAAGAATGACACTAGAAAGGGATTGAATAATATCATTAAAAAAATCAACACTTTTTTTAAATAGTGAAGTAGTATCCTAAAACCTTATGAGGGCAAACGAAGAGCTTAAGAGAAAATAACACAATATTTTTATACTGGTTCATTTCAACCATCGAGACTATGCCCAGTTCTTGATCAACCTAATCAAGTTCTATTATCTTTTACAAAAATACAAGTATTCTTTCATAAGTCACGTCGAGCTCAACCTAACTATTCTTTGGCATGCCTCTTTAAGCAAATTCCCAAGTATGTTTTGAATATAAAGTCTTTCCAGGCTTCAATAATCAAGTATTCTCTTACAGTCAAATCTCTTTAGGCTTAAAGTAATAACACAAAGTTAAAGTTAAAGTTATGAAATCACTTTGTTGTTTAGTCTTACTATCAAGACATGATACAACCAAGTTAAGTATAATACTTTTTATGGAAAGAATGAATAAGAATTTTTACAATTGACGTGCTCTTTTTTATATGAATCTTCAAGCTTTTTTATATTGGTGTTTCATGAAGATGACTATTGCAAGTTCTTAAGCATCTCTCACAAACTTACTTCATTTGTCTTCATCTTTGTTCCTTGTCAAGAGAAATGTTCGTTGGTGTGTTAATTGTGGATATTAAATGCGTTTCACCAAATTGCCACTTCTTATCTAATCAAGGAAGCTACTTTTCACTTTTAAGGTACCAAATTGAAGGAATTGTTGTGTGTCTGTCATAAACAAATTTTTTTTTCTGAGATTTTGCATGCTTCAAGGAATTTGACTATTCTTTCTCTAACACGAAGCATGTATGTGTTTCTTTTTGTAGTGCGAGTATTGAAGAAACTTTTATTCTTTTCATTTTGTTAAGGAATAACATAGATAAATATGAATTGGTTACTAGACATCATGAATGATATATATTAAATGCTTTTGCCTTGTAGACAAAATAGTTCATTTGAGAGACTTAATGTCAATATAATCAATTATCTACCATAATTTGTCTTATGATATGATATGAAAAACTTTCTTTGAAAAATGTCTAAGTTAGTAGTTATCATTAAAGTTTATATCCTAAGGGATCTAAGACCATATTTTGATCTAACACATGTTTATAATTGGTGCCATATCCATTTAGAATAAGGTTGATTTGGTGCATCTTGCATTAGATAATTGTCATGTGATTTATTAGCAAATTGTTAATATTATGAATTATATGCTATGTTTATTGTAACTTGTTTACACCTATATATTATATGTTGCTTATGTTATGCTTATGTTTTGTGTGTGATTGTCCGACCTTATCTTACATCGGGAGCATGATTGAGATGTGTTTCACTCCTTTTCTTTTGTGTTTGTTTTGCTTTCTATTGGATGAATGCCATTGCATGTGAAATTCATCAAGAAGGTTGGTGCTTATGATTAGACTTGAACTTTAAGTTAATTATGTGATTAGATTATATTTTGATAAAATGTGACATAAAAAGTAGTAGAGATTAATTTGTTATTGTGATGATTTATTTCTTTCAACTTTAGAGACTTTTTTTAATTTCATTATTTGTGTGGCATTTGGAGAGCCAAAACATTTTATTCCCATGTCTATTTTATTGTTTATGAAAAACATGCAAGACTTGTTATTATGCCTTGTTTTATAGAGTGACATGAATGTGAATCGCATGTATTGAGGCGCTTTAAGTAAATGTTTTATGTTGTTTTAATGAAAGTACCTCCTTTGAAAAATCTTTTCTCATTTATTATATATATTAGCTAAAGGGGTAGGGTATCTCACGGTCAAAACAATATTTAAGCCATAAAAAATATTGAAACTTGCTTCAAATGATTTGTTGGAGACTAAGAATTGATGAGATGACGTGGTCTTTAGGTGAAAAATCAAGTCCAAGACAATGTGTTTACACTCTTAGCAACCATAAGTTTGAATTTTATTTAGAATTAAATATGTTTTAATTCTTTAAATTTAGGATAAATTTGTTCTTATTTTTTTAAAATTTAAAATTATTTTTTTAGTTATTGTAATTTTAAAAAATATTAATTTTAATTGTTATACTCAAATTTTATTAAAGAGTCTGTCAAATATTATTATATAAAATATATGTACAAGTGTTTCTGTTGGTGAAAAAATCATATGAAACTTGGTTGATATTGCATAACTGTCTTGATCACCCACTTTCAAATATGTTATTAGTCAAGGGTTAAAACAAAATTTCTAAAAATTACAAAAACTAAAAATAATAATTTTAAATTTAAAGAATTAAAATCAAATTTATCATAAATTTAATCAATTAAAATATATTTTTTATTTGATTAGCCATACTTGAAGGATCCAAATAAATTGTCAAAGAGAAACAGAATATGGTTGATACTAGAAGAAAGACTTTATCTGCCCAAATGAAATGTGTGCTACGGTTGTGGAGAAAAAAATAGGTGTAATTGTCCTAATTAAATTGTTGACAAAGAATAGAACTCCACTTTCTCTTATAAGCCCGAACTTGCTCGTTTTCTACAAAAACTTTGAACAAGGAATTGGCAGCGACAAACGCATATAGTTCATCTTCAACATGATTATCGAACCAAAAATACCGATTCCTCTGTGCCTAATATGGAATACAAAACTAGTGAACTACAATATCATACAAACAAAAAATGCTCATAAATACTATTATTTGATTTATTTACTTATTGAATTAATTTTAAATTTAATATTGCTAATTTTAAAATAAGTAATTACCTTAAAAAGTAAAAATATAACCGAATATTTATTTAATATAATTAAATTTTAATATTTTTTATTGCAAATATATTTTAATTTAAGGTTTAATTAATGCATTTTTGTACCTTGAGTATCATGATTGAGTGATTTTAATCTCTTAACCAATATTTGATTAGGTGGATGATATCAGATGAGATGGTGATATGATACGATGATATATCATGTGAAAATAAGATAAATTTTTTTTAAAATGTAGAAGATGAGAATTAAACGCAAAACATTTACTTTCAAACTTAACACTTAATCACTAAATTAATGAACTTCTTTAATATATAAATAAATTTTATAATATATATGTATATATATTGTTAATACTAATAATATTATTGATAAATTAATATAAATAATATTATTAAAATATTTAAAGTAAATTAATAATTTGATAAATATACTAATATATTAATACACTTTTAAATAAATATAAATATGTAATATATTAATAACTAAATTATACTTTTAGTCTCCTTATAATATCAAATTTACAATTTTGATTTCCAATTTTTAAGTTCATAATTTTAGTGTTAATCCCAACAAAGAAAGGGGGCTAAATGGGTGTTTAAGAAACTTTAGAAATTACTTTTGAAAACAAGTTCTTGAATTATGTAATTTCTTGATCTTTAGAAATCTTTATAAATATTCAATTCTTCAATTTTTTTGTATGTATGTACATATAACATATAACATTTATTGCGTAATGGTAAAAAAGATGAAATATTGATCATTTTAGAAAAGCCATTGATCCAAAAGATCTGTTGGATCAAATGTGCTAAGTTGAAATTTGGGTGTGCGTATAGTAGGGTTGGTAATGGGAAGAGGGGGAGGGTAAGCTGAACTTGTTCCATAAGCCAGCTGGGTTTGAAGGGTTTTGAGTTAAGCTTTGACGGATTGTAAGTCTCTTCCATTTCTTTGGCTAGGGTTTTAGGAGAAAAGGTAGGCTAATAAAAGTACCGAAAGATATAGCTAAGGAGAATAAGTGAAATCCCTATAATATATAAAGAAAAAATTACTTTTCATTCATTTTAGTCTAAATAGACAAATCATTAGGGATGGCTTTGTAGTGAGATAATATTTATAAAGTCTTAAATTTTAATTTTAATTTCATCATTACAATGAGTAAAAAATATATATATTCTCCTGTGGGTTAAAAAATATATATTTTGAATTGAGAGATACTGACTTTTAAAGCAGAAGGGTGTAGCTGTACTCTAATGAGCCATACACCTGGACACTTTTTATTGGAAAAGCATAAATTAAAAGAAAAATTCAAACATAGTCTTTAAGCTAGTAGGGCCTGTAATTGGACTTGCCTGTCCACTGGGTTGTTATCACTACCTCTCTCATTAGCTGTCCAGAAATTTAATAGGAGTTTGACATCGAAAAGTATTTTGTTTTTAAATAAGTACTAATACTTTCACTTGATTATACTTTACGTCAATATACTTCACTTGATAAATATCAGAAAACGGAAGTCATTAAATTTATGTAAACAAGGATCCAACAAAAAGTACCTGGGGCCTATTTGTAGGCCTTTCCTTAAGAAGTTCAAAATCTAGTGATATTTTATTTAATTACATTGTCAATTCAATACTTAATACCACAGCTACATGGTACATATAGGTGAGAGCTGTTTCCTTTCCACTTCTTTTCCTTTAGCTTTCCTGCAAATTCATGCTGTAATCTTACTCAAAAATCGCAGAAGTCTAGGCATGCAAATTAGTCAAACGAGATATAAAGCAAGGAAAAAGTAGATAAGATGCGGGAAGGACAGTGTTTTGGAATTTTCGTAGTGATTGCTATAAAGAATCTGTTTAAATATAAGTTAAAAGTATTTTTAAAACTTATTCAAAAATAATTTTTAGTTAAACAGTTCTTAAAAGTGTTTCCAAGTTCTTATTTAAACAAGTTCTAAATCAAATAATGTATGCATCTATTTTTAGGGAATTAATATTTCATTTTATATACAAGTAAAATGTTCTCTCACAAACATCTAATAAGAATTTATATTTTTTTTAACCACATTATTGATATTTATCGATTTTGTTGATAAGTAATTTCTGTTCAAGAAGTTTATTGTCCACTTTTATTATATTACCATATTATAATTATGAAAAGTGTACATAAATTAAATTAATGGAGAAAGCTCATTCATAAAGCTGTCTAATTTTAACCTGTTTAATACCTTGTATAAGCTGCAGAGAGTCAAAGAATAAAAACATGCATCAAATCTATGGTTTTCAGGAAATTGTGACATAAATTAAGACATGGCATAATTTTGTGCAAAAAATCATCTAAACCAATTGGTTGTTTTTAGCAAGAAAATGTTTGAACTGTATCTTCAAAGCCATACTTGAAGAGTCCAAATAAATATATATCAGTAAAGACTAAAATGCAAACTGAATATGGTTCGTAGAACAAAGACTTCATCTCTCCACATTAAAATAGATATTCATGTGTACTATGGTTATGACACAAGAATAGAAGCTGTACTATGGTTATGGCACAAGAATAGAAGCTGTAAATATCCTGATGAAGTTATGAACTAAGAGCAGATATCAAATTTCACTTACCTCAGTTAGAGCTTGCCCGTGTGCCACTAAACCTGTTGATCACCACAACTACAAACACATGAAGTTGGTCTGCAACATGATTAAGGAACCGAATATAAGCATGTCTCCATGTCCTGTTGAGGAATATAGAACCACAAAGCCCCCAAAATCCCACTGCAAAACCGACACCCATTCCAAGGTAAAGTGACTCAGTTTCAAAGCCATCATCGTTGCTTCCACCATGTTGATTTGTCACATCAACACTAACACTTTCTTTAGTGCAGTTAAAAGGTAGAGGAGCTCCACAAAGTCCAGGATTCCCAGCAAAGTTTGCAGCATTGAAACTCTGAAGCTGAGTTCCAACTGGGATCTGTCCAGTGAAATCATTGTATGACAGATTCAAGAAGCTCAAGAAAGACAAAGAGGAAATGGAAACAGGAATTTCCCCATGAAGTTTGTTGCTTGATAGATCAAGAGATTCCAAATTCTTCATGCTCCCAATGTCCCTTGATATCTCTCCTGTGAAATGATTTCTTGACAAGTTCAAGGACTGTAATTGAACAAGATTGAAAACTTGTGGAGGGATTTCCCCTGACAAGTTGTTAAATGAAAGGTCAAGTGTTCTCAGCAATCCATAGTCTTCGTACTCTAACTCTAGGCCTTTGTTGTACAAATTGAACTCAAATGGGTAGTGACTTGTTCGTTGTGCTCCACCCATGCTTGGAATGTCACTGATGCATGGAGGAATAGAACCTGAAAGTTTGTTGTGGTAAAGATCCAACTGAATCAGTGAAGAGAGATTGCATATCTTGGGTGGAATGTTGCCTTCAAATTGGTTAGAACCCAATAGCATCACTTCCATACTATGTGGCATCTTTGTTGGTACAGTTCCAGAAAAATTGTTGTCTTTGATATTGATGAATTCCAAGTTTGTTATGTTTGATAGGTCCAATGAAAAATTGCCAGCCAAGCTGTTGTTATGCAAATCCAGTGCTATGAGATCAACAAATGAGCCCATTGATGGAGGGACTTCACCTGTTAGCATGTTGCTCTCCATGAAAAGGAAAGACAGACCTTTCCAATACTCCCAACAATCAGGAACTCCTCCAGTTAAAAGATTGGATGATATGTCCAAATAGTCCAAACTATTTTCCCTACCCAAATTATGGCAGAACAAAGGGGAAATGGGTCCATAGAAAGAATTGTGAGACAAGTCCAAATAGACAACATTCGTTGTTATATGTGGGAGCTCTCCTGTGAAATTATTATTGTCCATAAACATGAGCTCAGTGTTTAGTGTGATGTTTGTTAAGTCTGCCGAGATTCTGTTCTTGGACAGGTTGAGCTGTGTAATATTAGATACTAACCTCCAAAACATGTCACTGTTTATGGATGAGATATTTGAGTTGGGAACCTCTAGATACACTAGTGAGTTTTGTGTGTATATCCATTCTGGAAATTTAGGACCTAGATTTGCATTTTTCAAACTTATGCCCTTCAACTGGAAAGGTGGCATCCAGTCAGAAGCCAAGTCAAATGAAAAAGGAGCACTCAACACCAGTGCTTCTAAATTAGAGAGATTGGAGAAATGGTTTTCGTGTAGAACTCCTGACAAGGAGTCACCTCCAATGGTCAAACTTCTTAAATTAAAGAGCTTTCCAAAGCTGGTTGGAAGATTACCACTCAATGAATTGGAGCTGATTTCCAATTCAATCAAAGATGAGAGGTTTCCTATTGATGAAGGGATTGAACCATGAAACATGTTATCAACTAAACCAAGATATTGCAAATGTTCATGTTGACCTATCCATTCAGGGATGGATCCATCGAGTTCATTGTTATTCAGCCTTAAAGATTTAAGGTTTCTAAGGCTCAACAAGCTCTTAGGCAATGGACCATGTATAAAATTGAAGCTAAGATCAATATGAGAGACACTGGTGAGGTTGAACAGCCAAGAAGGCAATTCTGAGAGAAAATGGTTTCCAGAGAGGTCAAGAGTTAAGAGTGAAGAAAAATTGACACACTTCATGGGTGGGATGATATTGATATTGGTAAGATGAGAACTTGCCAACCTTAGCTCTAACAGTGATGGATGCAATGCCATGGAGTGAAGCCAGTTGGTTTGGTTTTGAAGATTGATTTGGCTAAGGTTGAGATATTTCAAGGAGGAAAGTTGAGAAAGCCAAAGGAGATTATCCACATGAAGATCATCATTAAAGGATAAGTCAAGAAAGTGAAGATAGGAGAAGGTAGCATGTGTGTCATAAGGTGCAGTTAAAGTTGTAAAGCCATTCAAGCTCAAGTCCAAGTAGCTCAAGAATTGAATTTGAAACAAAGACAAGTCGATATCACCTTCCAAGTATTGCTGCTTTAGGTCAAGTCTTGTGACTCTGCCTGTGGTGTTGTCACAGTGGACACCCTTCCATGCACAGCAATCTTGATCAGTGGACCAAGAGGGGAGCTTGTTGGAATGGTTCACAACACCACGTTTGAATATCTGCAGTGAGGATCGATCCTTTTCGTTGCAACGAGGCTGCAAATTGGTGCCAGTACTGTGGAACGTGGGTGCACATAGCAATAGCAGAAGGAGTATTGAAATTTGTGAGACCATGGCTCGGAAAATGATAAATGTGGGTGGTTGCTAGCTTCTCTCATCGATCACTTCATATATATGATATCTCATATCAATCATGATCTAATTATGCGCATTAACAACAGGAAACGGGAAACATTCAACGAAGATCAGTCTGCGTTGATTCTTCTACACAACAAATCGTCCTTTTCTGTTATTATTCCTCTATCCTTTTAAATTTTACTACCAACGTAAATTATTGCTCCTCTCTATATATATTGACTCACATTTCAGGACTATAGTGTTAAATCAGTAAAATGACATTTTTAATAATATTTTATAGAATGTAAATTTAATAAATTTAATTGTAGTTGATGGTATTATATTCATAACCCTATATATCAAATTTTAAATAATTTGGACTCTTCTAGATATATCATCTAACAATAGATATTTACATGTATTTTTAATATTATTTAATATGTTAAAATAAATTGTGAAAAAAATACAGACACTAAAACGGATGTTGAATAGTGTCAATAAAAAATTTGCACTTTTTCAAGTAGTAAAATGGTAACATTAAAGGTAAAGAGTGTTGAAGAAGAGACAGATGAAACGTAGGATATTTTTATATAAGTTCGTCTTCACCACCGAGACTATGTCTAATTCTCAATCCAACAAGATTGAATTTCACCATCTTAAACAAGATACAAGTGTTTTTTTCAACAAGTCACTTATGGCTCAAACATAAGTGTTTTTTGAATTACCTCTCCTGATAATCTACCTAAGTATTCTTTTACATAAAGTCTCTTCAGGCTTCAATACCAAGTATTCTTTTACAGTCAAGTCTCTCCAAGCTCAAACAAGTATTCTTTTTCAGACAAGTCTTTTTAAGCTCAACCCTGTAACAACAGTTATATCTGGGTACAATTTTTCCAGATGTTGTTTCATCTTACAAACCAATTAAGAGCATAAGTGTTTACAAAAAGAACGAATGAATAATAATTTGTACAAAAGTTCTTTTTCGTTTTGATCGTGAAGCTTCTTATATAGTAGCTCAAATGAAGATGACCATTGCAAAATCTTGAAAGTTCCTCACAAGCTTGTTTTGTCTGTCTTCGTTACAGGTTCCTCAAGGTGAGAAGTGTTCATTGATGCATTAAATATATTTTTATCAAATTGTCACTTCTTATCTGATCAAGGAAGCTACTTATCAACTTTAGAATACCAAAATGACTATTTGTAGTGTGTGTCAAGAAGGAGCAGGTTCTACATAAACTTTTACTGATTTTCTCAATGATTTCAAAAACCCATTAACTTTAACAGATTTGTGAATTTCGAAAGGCTTTCTTAGCTTGATCTATTAAGGAATTACTTAGACATGCAACAAGTAGTTGTTTGTCATTATGAATGATATGAATTTACATAGTTTGTCTAACAATTTTTCATCTTATATTTCATCTAATTTTTATTTCTCAAAAACATTTTCCTTTAGAAAAACATTATGTTTGTTATCATTAAAACTTTGAAAGTTTGAAGGATCTAAGATCGTCTTTTGACTTAACAATCTCCCATTTTTTGATGGTGACAAACATGTTTTTGAAACTAAGGTTTTTCTTGACTTACAAAATACTTTTGACGATTAAGAGAAAATGACTATTATGAAAATAAATTAATTCAAGAAAATCATTTTTATCCAAAATGTGATTTTCTTTAAGACGTGGAAGCATTATAATTTCATCAGAGTGATGTAAAAGCCCATTCTTCAAACGTATATAAAATCATACGAGTAGTTTGATTTTACGCACACATTCATTTGAGACATATATATATATATATATATATATATATATATCAACGTATTCTCTTGATCTTATTAATCATATAAGAGCATCATTAATAGTTGAGCATATACGGATATTGACACTACTTATTCATTTCATAACCTATCAAAGTGAACATATCAAATCATTTTTGTATATTAAAGCATATGTTATCTATCATGCATATCATAACCTATCAGAATAACATATCAAATCATTTTTTCATATCAAAGAATATGTTATCTATCATGCATATCATAACATATTTATCAGAGCATATACTTATACATGAGATACATATCAAAGCATATATAAGTGGGAGATGAGATGCATAAGGGGCTCCCCCTAAAAACATGTATAATCTAAAAAAAATACTGATAAAAGCATTTGATATATCAAATCATACTATTGTGAGACAAATCAAGGCAAAAACTATTTTCAGAGCAAAACAAAGACTATAATCAAAGTGAAAAAAAATTGCTCAAAAACATAATCTCTACTCCATTTTTTGGCACCAGTAAAAATTGGTCTAGTGATTATTCTTCCTCCATGTAAATGCTAGATTTCATCTAGATTACCCCTACTAAGAGAAAAAGGCCACTAGGACGAGAAGAGTAGCCCTCGAGAGCCCAATAAAGCATTAAAATGGACAAAGATGAAGCATGGGAAGCCTAGTAAGAGTTTTTGGACAAATAAGGGTTAAAACCCTAGGCCTCCCAGAATGACCATTCCCAACTGCATTTTTCACTTTAAAAATACCTCCTAGAATGGCCATTCCCACCTCCAAAATGACCATTCTCAGTTGCATTTTTCAATGTAAAAATTGCCTTCCAGAATGGTCATTCCCAAATTTGAAATGATCGTTCGCAACTAAAAATTTGCACTACAACCCTAATTTGGAACGAACTATTCCCAAAAACCCTCTTAGTGCTATTTTAAGGCCCAAAACGGTCATTCCAAGGTTGGGAACGACCGTTCCCCATCCTTGGGTGCCTATATAAGGGTGCCCAAGGCTCAGTCTTCCACACTTCCTGCACAGTTGAGAAATTCCTGTTAGAAACACTTCTTTTCCCTTCTTTACATATTCTCGAGTGTTTGTGAGGTCATTACAGAGCAAAAGACTACCAAAATGCGCCCTTACATCACCATTAGAGGATTCTTCTATAAAGCTTACTTTAGAAGTTTTTGTTAATTTCTTCTCTCTATTTAATTGTTTTATTCATAACCCTATTAGCATGTGACAACCAGCAATCATGTAGATAATAAACATTTATATGGCTAATAAAAAGGGGTATATATTTAATCATTATTTATTATTATGCTAAATTCATCATAGGGTACCGAATTAGGGCGCTATGGGTGCCTAATACACTCATCGCAAAAAACTGACCCCTAAACTTGATTCTGGCTATAAAGACCATTATTAATTTACGAAAACCTTTATTTTCTTTTTTTGATATTTTGAGTAAAACGTCAGTGGCGACTTTTTTCAACTCTTTTAAAAAATCATTGGTGAAGGATTAGTCTATTCTTTGGATATTCCTAAATCGATGAGATTTTCAAAACGAAGTCAAAACCATCTGCGGGCAAGATTGGAATGTTTCGAGTTCTGAAAGATGGCAACTCCACTAGGGATGCTTAAAGAGGATCAAGCCCATTCAATGACGAATTTAGCATAATAAATATAATAATATTTGTATGCTTGTTTAAAATTTTCGTACTTGTTTGAAATAAACTGTACACAAACCTTTGCACAATACAAGTTCCCTCTATACTCAAGGGTAAGAGAGATGACCATAGGGAGTGGTTGATGTACGACCGACCCAAGGAAAGGCCTTAGAGCCTACAAGTCATTGTCAAAAATCTCACTCAAGGTGATAACCGGTTATTGTAGCTCGAATAATTTGGATGGACCATAGAGTCTGTCAGTTGACAACGACAAAGATACTGGATCCTTATAATGGGGGCACCTTAGGAACCTTTTAATGACCGATGAGAGCAGTTAGAACCATCTTATGCTACGCACCTTTCTTTGCAGGGACCTCAACCCATGGATTTAAACATGACTGCTCGTGAGTGTACGTTGTTCGAGCATATGTGTGTGCATTTGTTTGTTTACATTATTTATTTTTAATAAAAGTACATTGAAATTTTAAAAAAATAATAGATAATAAAAAATAAATAATAAATAAAGAAATCAATACTTTTTTGTACATTCTTAGGTCATCATTTCATTAAGCATCATATAGGTAGTTTTTTTAGTAAAAAAATGAATAAAAACTCATGCCTTTATCATGCATCATTTCACTTCTAGATAATGAAAACATGATAAGTTTTAGGCAAATAAACACCATAGCTTACATTTCTAGGTTAGTCCATCGATTCCCATTCATTTTTATTTTTAGATATGGCAGGAATAGGTAGCAACATGCATAGACAATTTAGAAAGGTGAATGTCTTAAAATACATAATGCCTAAGATAAATAGTATTTGCGCTCTAAAGAAAAGCCCAAACTGATTTTTGAAAAGATGCTATGATAGGGCCCTCGCTTCGATATCTATTAAGACAAGCCTTCTTGGAATCTGGTCTACACTGTTTGGGAAAACCCATTAGAATGAAAATGCATAAAAGTCGTTCTAAACAAAAGTTGTGGGCAACTTATGAGTTCACCAAAAAAAAAAACAAATAGTGCAGATGTAGGCACTAATAAAGCATGTTTTGCACAGACATCATCCAGCTTAAGGTTTCTTTAGAATCTTTTATGATACTGTTAAAACCTATTAGAAACATTAAGCATTCACCTCATAAACTTTCTTTGCATTCTGCATTGTATTCATCTATAGCATAACCTTCCGTGTAAAAGAATAAATAAGAATAAAAAGAGAAATTTAACCTATGCGCGTTGGTTATCGAGCCTGATACATAAGATCGGGGCACACTTAAAAGTTAACATCAATTATAATCCAAATGGGCAATGGGCAACGAATGTCGAAACAATTAACGATCAAGACGACAAGTCCTTCCCCATACGATGAAGATAAAACCAAGTTGTGGGTCCACGAAATCCAAACGTCATCATACCCATCCAATATTACCGAGATAGGAGGGATGACTAGGAATGGATGGATCCACACTTCTTATGAGTTGCAAGATAAAATCTCGAAAGTGAAGGATAAATTCAAAGAAAAAAGGAAAGGAACCTAAGAAGGAGGATGAGT